CTGCAGATTTCTCCGGTGCAATGTGTCTTCTTGTTTCCTGACTGCTGGTACGAAGGGTGTTCATTGTAGATCCTAGCAAGATGAAGCTGTTGACAGTTTCAATCTCCTCTCCATCCAGCATGATCCTGAACCTTAGGGGTAGTAAAGAGAATTGTAAAGCCTAGGTTTGTGTTGATGCCTTCAAGACCCTTGCTTTGTAATAATAGTGGGGTTTTTAAAAAATTTTATTTTTGCATATATTTTTATTTTATTATTTTTGGTGTGTATACCATCAAATCGGATCTGACTGGTACAGGAGGAGATTGCCCCTCCTTCTCCAGCAGAGCATCTGGTGGATTCAAACCACGCACCTCTGGGATTGCAGTGCAGCTTCTTGCCACTAGGCCACCAGAGCTCTCCTGTAGTAAGAGTATTTGCATGGTAATATGTTGTCACTTGCCATCCAGTCAGCTATGAGTCATGGTGATGTCATAGCAGAACAAAACTTCACCCTGCTCTGCTGATGATCTTCTCTGATGGTCTTCATCGTCTTCTTTAAGTCCACTGTTGCGGCCAGTGTGCTCCAGGAGTATCTTTCAATCCAGAGGACTCAGCTCCCCTCTCCACTGCACAATATTCTGTGTGGTCCATAATGTTTACACTGGTCCATTTTTTATAAAAAAATTTATTGTTATTATTTTTTTTATGTGTGTACCATCAAATCAGACCCAACTGGTACAGGAGGCAATTGTTCCTCCTTCTTCAGCAGAGCATCTGGTGGATTTGACACTGGTTCCATTTTTAAAGGTAGATGGCCCGGCCTTTCTTCCTGGTCTGCCTCAGTCTGGACGCTCTGCTGAAACCTGTCGCCAACCGGTGACACACTACTAGTGTTTGACGTACCAGCAACCTGCATTGATTCCAGCATCACAGCAACACTAGTTCATCGGCTGCACAAAAGGCTGTTGGAACCCATCAGTGGTTCCACAGCAGAAAGACAGACAATCTCCTCCTCTGTGATTTACAGCCTCAGAAACCCAAAGGAGGGTTACCGATGAGTGGGTTCCGATTCGACAGCTATGGTTCTGAGTGTGCTTGAAACAAGATGTGTGAGGTGGGTTATGCGCTGGCTTGCCAAATGGTTGGAGTCTCCAGGTGACATGGACAAGTTAGGCACGTGACTATTTGCTGAAAGGTTGGAAGTTCAACTCTACCCAAAGATGTGGAAGATCTGATGACCTGCTTCTTTCATCTGCTCGCTCCTCTCTCCTCTCCTCTCCTCTTCTCTCTCTCTCCTCTCTCCTCTCTCCCCTCTCCCCTCT